ATTTTCTTTAAGAGATCTCTAGTATTTCCCATTCTATTGTTTTCTTCTAGTTCTTTTCACAATTCATTGAAGAAAGTTTTCTTATCTCTCCTTCCTATTCTCTGGAACTCTGCATTCCGTTGGGTATGTTTTTCCCTTTCTTCCTTGCTTTTTGTTTCTGTTCTTTCCTCAGCTATGTGCAAAGCCTTCTCAGACAATTGCTTTGCCTTCTTGAATTTCTTTTTCTTTGGGATGGTTTTGGTTACTGCCTCCTGTATAATGTTATGAACCTTCGTCCACAGTTCTTTGGGCACTCTGTCTACCAGATACAATTCCTTGAATCTATTCATCACCTCCTTTGTATAATCATAAGGGATTTGATTTAGGTCATATCTGAATGACCTAGTCACTTTCCTTAGCTTTACTAATTAAAAAAATGATTCCCCAGTTGTGATGCCTGCTGAGTTCTACAAAGCTGAAAAGATTAATTAAATATCAGCACCATGACAGGGATGAATACAGAAGCCTGCGTTCCAGGCAGGAACTAGAAACTGTAAAATAAGGATGAGGAAGTTTCTGGTTTGCAGCATGTGGTAGGTCCATTACAGAAGAAATCAAAGAGTGATTAGCAAACAGCAGGTAGAACAAGGAATCCAGTCAAAGGAGCTTGGCTCATGCCAGAGGCTCCAGGATGCAAGATAAAAGGTAAACAACTTTGCAGATGCCTGGTTTTCCTTTTCCTTTTTCTTCACCCCCTACCCTCAAATCCAGGGACAGAAATATTAATGATGTCTTGGCTAACCTTATAATTGCCCTATAATTGGCATCTATAAAAAGGCTCATTTTTCTTGTTGAATCCGCTATGCTCTTCAAAATTTAATTGCCTTCCTCATTCACATTATTATTAAATAGTTGATTGCATAATTTGCCTTTAAATTTAACAATCATTTACTATGTACTCACTATGTGTTGACCACTGCTAAGTATTCCAGGAGATAGAGAGATGAATAATATACCAGGAGTGGCACCCATTCACTCATCTTCTTCATGTATGTATTTTTGTACATCTCTGTGTCAGGTACTGCTCTCAATATTTTATATCAGAGCTTCAGCAGAAAGTAAAGGCGCCTATAATCTTATGAAGTTTATATTCTAGTGACATGAATGTGTCATTTAATGACCAGATCAAACAACTATACAAGTAAACATAGCACAGTGAAGAGTATAAATAGCCAAGTAAGGTCCAAGCATGGAATTATCAGATTGTGAAGAAGTGATCACATGTGACTAGGAGTGCTGGAAGGGTGGGGAGTGGGGCACTGTTTAAATTGGCCTTAAAGAATGGGTAAGAGGAAGAGGTCAGGTAACGAGTCTCCTGGTATGAGCCAAGGATTAGAGTCCAGAAAGCATGGGCTCCACATGGGGAACAGTGGAGAGCCACCTTTGGTTGGCATCTTGGCATAGGCTGAAAAAAGTGGAAGACAGGACTGCAAAGATTAGCGGGGGGAGTGGGGGGGACCGTGGAAATCCTCAGGTGACTTTGGAAAAATGAAGTAGCAAGACTACAAAAGTTTATGGAATGGATTGGAAGATAGAAGAGAGAATGCTGGGCAAAAAAGAAGTGCTTCCTAAACTTTCTTTTGTCCAAAGCTCATTCCTTAATGAGGCTTCATTGTTTGGATATATTGATTTTTTCCTTTGTGCATATGGCTTTTGGCCTTTGCAGAAATAAGTACAGATTTCATTATGTAACTATACAGTTATTTGTTAACAAACTTACACATCAGTATTTTTAATGGCTGAATAATACTCATATAGACATGTGATATCTATATGTATATATATAATATTTTATATATGTGCATGTATATATATATATATACATATAGCTGTTATTGTTTTGTTGTTAAGTCATATCTGACTCTTTGCAACCCAATGGAATGTAGCCTGCCAGGCTCCTCTGTCCACAGGATTTGCCAGGCAAGAATACTATAGTGGGTTGTCATTTTCTTCTCCAAGAGATCTTCCTGACCAAGAAATTAAACCTGTGCCTCCTGCATTGGCAGGGAAATTACTGCTAAGCCACTAGTGAAGCCATATCTATATATGGCTTTTAATCACATTTTTATATTCATTCATTGAATGACAAACCTAGACAGTGTGTTAAAAAGCAGACGCATCACTTTGCCAACAAGTGTCCATATAGTCAAACCTATTTTTAAATAATTAAAAAAAAACTAAGATCATGACATCCAGCCCCATTACTTCATGGCAAATAGAAGGGGAAAAGGTGGAAGTAGTTACAGATTTCCTCTTCTTGGGCTCTAAAATCACTGCGAATGGTGACTGCAGCCATGAAATCAGAAGATGACTGCTTCTTAGCTGGAAAGCTATGACAAACCTAGACAGTGTGTTGAAAAGCAGAGACATTACTGTGCCAGCAAAAGTCTGTATAGTCAAGGCTATGAGCTTCCCAGTGGTCATGTGTGGTTGTGAGAGCTGGACTGTAAGGAAGGCAGAGCATCAAAGAATTGACGCCTTTGAACCGTGGTGCTGGAGAAGACTCTTGAGAGTCCCTTGAACAGCAAGGAGATCCAACCAGTCAATCTTAAGGGAAATCAACCCTGAATACTTTTTGGAAGGACTGATGCTGAAGCTGAAGCTCCAGTATTTTGGTCACCTGATGCAAACAGCTGACTCATTGGAAAAGTCCCTGATGCTGGGAAAGATTGAGGGCAGAAGGAGAAGAGGGCATCAGAGGATGAGATGGCTGGATGGCATCACCAATACAATGGACATGAACTTGGGTAAACTTCAGGAGATGGTGGGGGACAGGAAACCCTAGTGTGCTGCAGTCTATGGGGTCGCAAAGAGTTGAACATGACTGGGTGATAGAACAGCAACAATCCTAAAATGTATGAGGTGATATCTCATTGTGGCTTTCATTTGCATTTCCCTGTGATTTGTGATGTTGAGCACCTTTTCATATACCTATTGGCCACATAAATGTCTTCCTTGGAAAAATGTCTCTTCAATTTCTTTGTCCATTTTTTTAACTGGATCATTTCCCATTTGCTATTGAGTTGTATTACTTCTTCAGATATATTGAATAATAATTCCAGTTAGATATATACTTTGCAAATATTTTCTCCCACTCTATTGGTTGTCTTTTTAATTTATTGATTGTTTCCTTTGCAGTACAGAAGATCTTTAGTTTGTCTATTTTAGCTTCTCTTTGCCTGTGTTTTTGGTGTGGTATCCAAAACAATCATTGCCAAAACCAATATCAAGGATCTTTTCTCCTATGTTCTCTTCTAGAAGTTTTATACTTTCAGGTCTTACCATTTACGTCTTTGGTCCCAAATAGCCAAAGAAATTTTGAGGAAGAAGAACAAAGCTGGAGACGTAAAACTTTCTGATTTCAAGCTATATTGCACAGCTAGAGTAATCAAAATAATATGGTACTAGCTGATGCTGCAGAGAAGGCAATGGCACCCCACTCTATTACTCTTGCCTGGAAAATCCCATGGATGGAGGACCCTGGTAGGCTGCAGTCCATGGGGTCGCGAGGAGTCGCAACTCAGCAGCAGCAGCAGCAACTGATGCTGGGAAAGATTGAGGGCAGGAGGAGAAGGGGACAGCAAGAATGAGATGGTTGGATGGCATCACCGACTCAATGGACGTGGGTTTGGGTAAACTCCAGGAGTTGGAGATGGACAGGGAGGCTTGGGTGCTGTGGTTCATGGGGTTGCAAAGAGTCGGACACAACTGAGTGACTGAACTGAACATAAAAACAGGAGCATAGATCAGTGGAACAGAACAGTGAGTTCAGACATAACCAATGCATGTTCAGTCAACAAATTTTTGACAAAGGCACCAAGACCATACAATGGATAAAGGATAATCTAGTCAATAAATCGTGTTGGGAAAAATGCATAACCACATGCCCCAAAATGAAAGTCATTCTTTTATTGCATTTTACTTATTCAGCCAATAACTATTGAGCATGTGCTCTGTGCATGGTGTTTTTAAAATACTGACAGCCATAGAGATTATATTATCTGAGCCCTGGGTGACCTGATAGTCCCCAAGGCCCACTTAGTTTGTGCTCCCATTGAAAATTCATAGGAAGTACTATAAGAACTGAGCTGTCTGGGTGGGCCCAGCCTCACCCATATACTTCATCTTTATCTCTGAAGAAATACATTCATTTGATTATGACCTTTTTGGAATTTGGTCCAGGTAGTTGGGTCACAACCAGTCAAGGGCTTGATAAAAAATAAGAAATGTTTGAAAAAGCCTGAGTTAGTATTGACTAGTCATAGAAAGTTGTTCCCTATGTCTCAGGCGATCCAGTGCGGCTCAAATGGTCCTTCATGGAAAAAGTCACCCTGAAACAAAGGCTGGGAGGAGAAAGCCAAATTATAGAGTGGAAGCAAAACATCAGAATATTAGGATGTCACCCAGAGGTAGATCTTTGAAGAGGTTAAATGAGGTCAGCTTGGTGGGTGGGCAGAAGGCATTACAGGACCAACCCTGTGATTTGGGGTTTGGATGAAGAACTGGACCAGTCTTCTTGCCAATCTAATCTTGTGGTTACAATTCATCTCTTTTGTTTTCATAAGGTTTTTCTCAACCACCTCCACTATTAGTAAAGAGTTTCTCTGAAACTGGGAAGTAGAAATGGTAAACACTGATTTTGTATCATGACCACTTGGTGAGATCTACTATTTGCAATCCTTCGCTAACTGTTAAAGCCATGGGCACACCAGCCCACAAAGCCTTCTTCTTTCCCATGTTTGCCTTATGTAACCAGTGGAGGTATTTGAGTAAAAGGAAAATATTTAGAAGTAGTTAAAGAAAAGTGATAACAACGATTACATAAACTTGCCTCCCCCCACCCCCCCGCCAAATGGTATTCAGATTATGATTAATTTCCCGGAATCTTTTACCATGGTAGTAATTGAAAGGTCCAAGACTATATAAACCAGGCTTAGAAAGTAAATAGGACATGAAAATTCTTTTATGCATGCAGTTGCCAAGGTTCTGAGAAAGAAGCAATATGAAACACCTTGTAAGTATATTTTCTGGTTTTGAATGTAGGTAACTATGTTTTCAGAGCCAGAATAGCCAGTGAGTAGTTCCTTTTTCCCATCGACTCTTCAAATTAACTCTAAATAGAACTTCCAAATATTAACTTGGCACATAACCTCGCTGTTGGTAAGCCTCTCTTTTTTTTAGAACATCAGAAAATGGGTCTTTCCCAAAAGAATTAATAGCTAGTTTCTTAAAAGTTCAACAATCTTTGCAGATTGAGTAGATATTCATATTTTAGGGCCTTTTCATCCTAGATTCATTTTATTTATAAATTTATGGCAAAGAAAATTTCAAGTGTATTTAACACATGGCACTAATTCTAAGAATCATTTAATAGAATATTATTGCTGTCTGTATCACATGTTTTTCTTTGGTTAACCTCATTGCATTGTGGTTATTATTCAGAGAGTAACTGTTTTCTTTTTCTTTGAAAATGTATCTCACATTCATGGTGTCATCACATGCAGAATACTGCATAGGATATTGTGGGGAAGGGGAGGAAGGGGGTTTCCTGTCGATTTCGGCTTATGTTGTAAGAGCTCTTGAGCTGAGTGAGCCTTAAGTAGACCAGATAATGAGCTGTGAGGTGTAGGGAAAGATTCTCTGCTACATTTATCTTAGCCTGTTCCCGTCCTTCTAATTCTCTTTCACTTATTTTCTGGTGTCTGAAATGCCTCCAATAGATTAGGCAGGTCACACCAAGAGCAAATGATTCACTGCAAATATCTCAAGAACAACTCACCCTTGAGTAAAACCTATTCCAAAATAAGGTGTAAACAAGTGATGCATAATCTACTATGCTCAGGCAAGGTGGAAGAAACTGGAGGAGAGGAAATTGGAAGGATATCAGATTCCAGAGGGGACAGAGGGGGTCCCCACTGGTTGGGAAGAAAGTAGGAGGTACAGAAAGGAAGACGGAGGACCTGAATTATCACTTATTTTACAACCTGACTTAAGATGGCCCTGCATTATGTGCAGATCAAGTGCTTGGTCAGGTTGCCTAATCTTTAGCCCAGTGATTGATAGTAGACGTAGAACAAAACAAAAGGTATCTTTGAATGAACGATAAAGCTTTCCTTCTTGAGTAGCCAGTACATCCCATATCGAACACATGGAATGACAGTTTCCTGATACATTCGGGGCCTCTAGGGCAAGAGACACCATGAAAGTTACAGGTCTTTTAAGAGGGCTCCAACCCTGGGCTCATCTGAGGCTAAGAGAGCCAGCCCTGTACACTGACATTTGTTTCCATTTCAGATTGTGTCTTCAATCTTTGTGGTCCTCTTCCTAGCTCCATCTCTGGCCCTGATGGTAAGTGAGGGTGGAGAGAGTTCAACTTGTCTGGTCCTCCTGAAGCAGAAGTACTTCAAAGGTGATAATCTGGGGTGCTGTGTTGTGCTTAGTCACTCAGTCGTATCCGACTCTTTGCAACCCCATGGACTGTAGCCCACCAGGCTCTGCTGTCCATAGGGATTCTCAATATTCTTATACTGGAGAGGGTTGCCATGCCCTCCTCCAAGGGATCTTCCCAATCCAGGGATTGAACCCAGGTGTCCTGCATTGCAGGTGGATTCTTTACCATCTGAGCCACCAGGGAATCTGGAGTGGCCTCCGTCAAGTTTCTTGTGAGGACCGCTTTATATGTGTGAGAGCAATGAAGAAAGGGCAATGCCGGAACTCTGGACTTAGGACTGTTCTCCTTGCTGCCTTCTCTTCTCCAGAACACCAGTGACAACCATCCTCTGGATGGATCTGTTGGGACCCAGAGCATCCGTGTCAATGCCTTTCGAGGTATGGTCAGCATCCGAGACAACAATGTTTTGAGTGAATGGGATGGAGTCTTGGACTACAAGAATGTAAGATTTAGAAAACATTCATTACAATGCCAAAGAAAGCTTTGCCTGCTCCAAAATTTAGCCTCCTGCTTTTCCAGAGAGAAGAGAACCCTGTCTATACAGGCCTTCTCTAAGTTTAGGATCTTGAGGGACTACATCTCTCTTGGTAAGGAACCAGCTTTCATGCATTTGCAGTGACTTCTTTTTGAGCCACAGGAGGAGCTTCTGAGATCTCTAGGGATCCAGCACCACTTTGTATTCCTCTCCTGTGTTGACTTCACAGGGCTCCCGAAGGCTTCTGAAATAAGAGAGCTATTTTTAAGAATCCTGATGTCCTCTAACTTGTATGTGCCATAGAGGTTCTTTGGTCTTGCTCTCAGATTTTAATCAGTTTATTTCCAAAGCAGGAAAATAATTTATTTTCACTTTTAGAAATCTTGCTTCCACTTGCCCATGTGGTCAGGGATGATGAGGCATGACCTGGAAGAAAGAGGCAGGATTGGGACGGGAGGCCCCATGATAGAAAAGTTATATGACAAGAGACACGACGCAACCAGAGACATGATGCAGCTTTTGAGTGCTTCGGTTTCCTCATCTGCAAAGGAGAATCAATGGCTGCCTTTCCTACTGGAAAGGACTCAGAGGGTTAAGCGAAGGAAAAGACCACACCCCCCCCCAACTCCATGCATGACCCTCTTTCATCCAACCCCTGCTGTTTGGAAGCCCTGCTCCTACTTTTCCCCCTCAGGACAGACTCCACAAACACGGATTTTCTCTCTGCAACCCCTGGACCTCCCCAAACTCTGTTCTCCCCATTCTTCACCTGATCTACTCCTGATTTCCTGGAGGACAAGCAGGCCAGGGATTTCCAACTCTGTTTTAAGCCATAAAGACTTTTCTTCCAACAAAGATTTCGCAAAATTCCACCCAATGGAACAGAAGTCACAACTTCTCTGGCAGGTGAGGGAAATGGGCTCATTGTCAGACTCAGCCGGAGAACCGTTGCTTTACTCCAAAGCTCAGAGAGGCTGAAGGTCAGGTCCAAGGCTACAACGGGGCAGTCAGTGACAGACCGAGGGCTGGGATCTATCTCTGGAGATCTGACCCCAGGCTCCTCCTTACCTTGTAAACCCAGAAGGGATGCTAACTCGCACACTGACTTCACAAGCAGGCGGTGTCTGTCTCATCCGTTCATGACATCCCCCTGGAGAGAGTCTACTTTTCCTCCTTTACAGATGGGGAAGCTGAGGGTCATGGAGGCGGCTGAGGACCATGAACAGCACTGTCACTGCGGCCGACCCCCTGCCCCTCCAGACCCCCGAGTCTGTTAGTCGTATGCAGAGTTTCCCAGGGGATACCCTCTGTGGTGCTTGCAGCAGGGCCCCATGTACAAGGCCAGTCCTGCTGCTGGCACTTTGCTCTGGTGCCCAAGGCCTGCTCTGCCGGGATGCTCCACACCACAGTCTGAAGGACAGCTATGTGCAGCTCTGATGACAAGTAGGAGGCCTGTGTATTGTGACTAAATGAATGACAGTGTTCTGCTGTGTTGCTTTAAGGCCCTCTTGGTGGCTAAGTTGTTTAGCAAGATGGCCTGTGTCCTGGCCAAGATGGATGAAGCTGTCTTCCCAACTTTGGATGACATTGTTAAGGCCCTGGACCACCAGGTAAGTGAGATCAGCTCACTGGAGTCCCCTCCTAGTTTGGTGTTTTCCAACTTTACTTTCTGACCTCCTAAGATGATGCTGTACATGCTGGGAAATTCAGTTTATGCTTGATCTTAACGCCCATGGAATTCCGTCATCGTGCAAAGGACTCCAAGTCCAATCCATGGCCTATTTAAGTCACATCACATTAATGAAAATGAACCATTGCATTCCATGCAATGACATAATTTTGATGTATTCCAAAAGGGTGTGAACTACACGTTAGTGAATATAAATATTAAACTGAAATACTATTATTATTCTCATGCCTCCTCTCCTCCCCTGCAGACCCTTTAAGCTCATACACACATATTATCTTTAGTTGAAAATGAGTTTAGGACTCCTGAAACTCTCTTCTTGTCTCTTAAATGACAAGGATTGCCAGATAAATTAAAAATCAGCAGGAAGCCCTTGGGAAGTCATTGAAATCTGGCGTCATTTTGCTTAAATAACCAACCCAGAACATTTGAGCCATGTCCCTAATGTCCATGGCAGGAGGACTGCTGATTCCTGGAAAAGAAAATGCCTTTGGATCACATAAAAATAAAATAATTTATCACTTTCTAAAAAGAGAGGTAGAAAGTATTCCCCTCATCTGATTTATAACAAGTAAAAGGCATAATATAAATGAAGACCATAACTTAAAATTTATTGTATATCGTTATTAGAAATGAGAAGAGCACTGGAGTCTGGAAGAGCTGAAAATTCAAGGGTGGAAGGAGTCAAGATTGAGTCACAGGGACACACAGACTTTTCCGGAGTAATTTTGCCACCTTGTGGTCAGATAGGATATCGCTATTAGGGAGGAAACTCCAGGGCAAGTGCAGGTTCAAGGCCATTTTTGTACATCCAGGGCTCCCGTGCCCTGGAATAGGTTTCTCACTCTTCCCCCTTGCTGCGCCACGTCTACCTGCTGTCTCACCCTTTTGAAATGTCACATCTTCCAGACTTCAAAGCATTATCCAGCTACTCACGGCCTGACCTACACTGTTTTACCCAACCGGGTCAAGAACTTAGCCCAGTTTGGAGCACACATCAAGGACATGTGCCGAGCGGTCCCCACTTATTTTGCCCAACAGCGAAAAGAAGGTACATGAATAACTTACCTAGAAACTCAAGACCACAGTTGAGGCAAGAGGTGTGGAATGGTTTTTAGGTCCTTGACAAATTCTAATGACACTTTGCAGGTCTATTCCATTTCTTTGCAAATGGGTATAAAAATTATGGGGCCTGAGATACATTTCCCCCTGGTAGTAGAGATGACTCCTGGTTACTGAGAACAGGAAGCAGAGTGAACTTAGCTTTACTGAATGGTAGAGGACAGTCATTTCACCTCTGAGAACTGACAGCTGGTGGATACTCTCAGCTGACCCAAAGTTTCAGCCTCCCCTCCCTTCTCCCCACCCCAGCAGCACAGTGCCTGGAATCCCCCACTGGAGGCCCATTGCTCTGGAGAATCTCAGTCCTCCTCTTTCTCAGGCTGCCCAGATGCTAGGAAGCAGGAGTCTGACAGTTACAGACCACACTTTGGGAAAGAAATGTCTTAGTGGCTGGTATCCCTGATGGGGATACAGTGGGATCAGTGTCTACCAGCTTGGGAAGTTACCAGATAAGAATAGAATCTCCCTGGTGCTCCAGATAGAGTCAATAACCACTTCCCATTACACTGTAGTCTGTCAACTATATCTGAGTATAAACTAACCCAGTGAACAAGGGTTTTTCATAATGAGAACTTCCCGCAGGAAAACAAAGAGAACTTGAGAGGCTGGGGGGTTAAAGAGGATGATTAAAGATCAATAAAAGAAATAGAAAAAAAGAATGTGGGACCCGTTATTGCAGCATTGATGAGATCTTCCATTTTGTTCCCAAGTCTCTGGCTAGTAAAGTTGTCTTGAGCATCACACTTCATCTAGGTGCAACTCATAATATATCTACTCTACTTTAGAGTCTTAGAGCAATTAAGTGATCTTTTAAATAAAACGCTTCTCTTTCTTTTTAAAGGTACTGCACTGGCTATTAACCCGGATTCCTGTTTTGAAATCCAAATCCTGTCCTTCCTGGGACTCTCCATCTGTGGGGAGATACCTGGGCTCTGAACCTCCAGGTCGGCTACGTGGAGAGCAGACCTGTCCGGATGGGGCCGCTGACCTGACCCCAGAGCTCAGGGACCCAGCCCACCTCTGCCAATGGAAAGCTGCTCATTTCAGGCCTGATTACCCCTATCTTTTGACCCAAGATCCAGCTCTGTGACCTGGAAACTGAATACACTTTCTCCCTGTTCTATTGGCTTAGAACAATAAAGTTTCTTGCCTCTCTGATCTAAAATATGAGCACTGCCTGCCTGCACTGTCCTCTCTAGAGTTACTGGACTCCCATCCACATGCTGTCCATACAAGGCACAAAGGGGAACACACCTCTCCTGGAAGGTCTCATTTCTAAGGGCCTCTCTTTGGTGTGTCCCTTGAAGAATTCCTGAAGAATCTGGGACACAAGAAAGAACAAAAAGACACCAGCCACAGCCTGACTTAAGCTTTCAGGTCTGAGGTCACATCTCTGTCTCCTGCAAATTGATGCTGTTCACTGTGGCCCAGCCTGCACAGTGAAAATCCCTGAGAGTTAACTGCATGAACAAGGCCTCTCAGACCTCTCTTTGGAACCAGTCTAAACCACTTCATGGGAATCCCTGGGCATTTATCTCTGTTACAAATGGATAAGGGATCTGGCCTCTTTACCCTGGTTCTTTAACTGTCCATCTCGAAAGCTGGGAAGGACACAGAGTCAGCCCCACCCACAGCAACCAGAACATCCCTGACTTGCCTAAACCAGAATAAACAAGGGAAGAGTACTGGAAATACAGACATAGACATTCACCGAAGGTCATGCTGGAGTTTGGAGTAAGTGGGACAGGACTGGAATGGGAGGGGTGGGGAGTGCTGAACCGTGCATGCACATGGAGTAGACGGACTGGGGTGAATTTCAGCACTGATTTGCCAGAGGCAGAGCTGAGCTCCAGCTCTGCATAGTCACAATGTGATGTGACTTAGTTATGAATGGAAAGGTGATTGTATGGGAAAGGCCCAGAATAAACCTCTAGCTGGGTTTAAATAAGTTATGGCTAGGTCAGCCAGGGTCTTTGAATCTATGCATTTGATCACAAGCATCTTGTCAAGGATAAGACTGGTGGAGATACTGCACAGAGCATCCAGTCTGGAAGAATCAGATAGATGTGACAGATTAAGTCTTGGTCAACCAGAGGCCCACAAAGCATGGTCTTGCCCTCAAGCCTTGACCTAAAGTGTCCCTGGAGTTAAGTTCCCATGGCTATCAGTCCTTCCTTGACCAGTGTATGCTTTATCCCTGACATCTGGCCCCCGGCATCTTCAGGAGCAGTCCCTATCTGGTCCCAGGTGCCTCAGTCCCTGTTACAGTTGCTGGAGCCCTGCTCCCAAACCCTCAGGACTCATGATGGTGGGGACTGCTGCCTACTGACTGGCTCTGATATCTATCACACCTTCCCTTCTGGACATCTGAGCTTCAACTGTTTCTAAATTTCCCATCATCTCCGGGCTCCACCTGATCATTATAATATCCCAGTTACTTCCAGGAGACTTTAGACATCCCACCTACTGACATCCACCATGTGTCTTTCTATCTGTTACCCTCCCCACAGATACTCTGCCCTCTAAACTGCTTTCCTTAGGAAGTTCTTGGTTCAAGGCCTGCTGCCCTCCCATGTTGGGCTATCATTGACTGGGCTGTAAGAGCTCTGTACCAACTCTGAGAAACAACTAGCATAGCCCTCTAGACCAGAGATCCTTAATCTCTGGGATCTAATGCTTGATAATGCTTGATAATCTGAATTGGAACTCATGTAATAATAACAGAAATAAGGTGCACAATAAAGGTAATGCATTTGAATCACCCTGAAACCATCCCCCTGACTCTGGTCTGCAGAAAAATCTCCTTCCATGAAACAAGTCCCTGGTGTCAAAAATGTTGGGGACCACTGCTCTAGACCTTACAGAACTTGTCAAGATAGAGTTTGGTCCTTCAGGTCCTTCAAAGCTCAATCTTCATCTTATAAAGAATCTTCCATGTGTGCATCAGGATTTAAATATTTTAGAAGATGGGATTGGGAGGGGCAAAATTCCAAAAAGTCATAGACTGGGTGACTTATAAACACCAAACATTTATTTCTCACATTTTTAGAGGCTGGGAAGTCCAAGATCAAGGCACCAGCAATTCCGGTGTCTGATAAGAGCCCACCTTCTCACATGTAGACAGCTGTCTTCTCGCTGTGTCCTAACATGGTAGAAGGTAAAAGGGAGCTCTCTAGGCCTCTTTTATAAGAGACTAATCCCACAACATTGGGGATTAGATTTCAACATATGAACTTTAAGGAGACATAAACATTCCTGTCTACAGCACCACCCTACTGATGACCATTGTTAATATTTATCCTTAATCCACCTGTCAACGAAATTCACCATATCTGAATCTCAAGCCAGTACCCCTCACTCTGACCCAAACATATTCCATGTTATCAACACCACCAGCCTTCTGTTTAAAATGCAATCACATTAATATTCACAGCAAAGTGTTTTTTTCCCTCCATCTGTGACTGAAGAACCCAAGCTTCTCACTAAGTCTTTTGCAATAATCTTTGAATGTCTTTGGAAGGGCCTAGGAACTGGCTTATAAAACCATTCCTCTTCTAAGCAGGGAAATATTCTATTCTCTTTTCTTCCCCCCCCCCCCCCCATTTCTTGGTACAGCTGCTGTCACTGACCTCTGTCGACATCTCCAGCGCTGCCTCTTAGGTCTGGGCGGAAGGGACTGGGAACCCACCGCCCACGGTGCTGTAAGCTGAGCAGTCCCCACACTTGCCGCCCCTCCACGGAGCGTGTGCCCTGGGCAGACGCTGCTGTCTCAGCCTCAGGGAGTCAGAGGAAATAGGAAAGTGTGTCTCCCCCCGTGGTTTGTTGTCAGTTGTTCTCACTGCTGCAACGTTTCTCTGGTTTCTTTGAGAAACTGTAGTGAGAAAAGGCTTCTCTCTTCTGCTGCTTCTGTTGTTTCTGCTCACAACTCCCACTCACCACCCCAGGGCCTGAAGCGTGAGCCCTTTGGAGACTGGGCTGGGGGCAAACCTGAGCACGAGACAGCCGTCACAAGGTGTTCGTCACCGCTCCTCCCGTCTAGGACTTGTTGGGTGTGACCATGTCCCTGTTCCCTCTTTCCTGAGCTTTCTATCTCCTTCAGCTTTGTCCTTTTCTTCCTGCCAACATGCCACGGAAGGATCATGTCTAAATCCCAGCTGGGAACTGCTCAAAACCCTCCCACCAAGAAATCTCTGAGATTCTTGCAAAAATTCCACCCTTGCCCTTAAGCCCTTCTCAGGGAGGAGGCCCAAGACAGAGGTCAATTTCCCTGCCTCTGAGCTCAGAGAATGATGTTCCAATAATAATGATGCTCCAATAATAGGCTGCCTTGAGGGGAGTCTTGCTCCCTTCACTAGCCCTGCTCCTTCCACCCTAGAAGGAGGCTCCCCTAACTGTCCTCATCACGCCTGCCTCTCTGCAGCCTCAGGGATGAGTCGATAGGCCCTGAACCCCAGATCTGCGGGTCTGGGTGGGCAGGCTCACCAGCTGAGGGCGGTGACTGCCCAGAGCTTACTCTCTGGCTCCCTGCCTACTCTGGCTCTCAACTTCCCCAGGAGTCAGGAGTGGGGCCCCTTGTCCTGCCAAGAATGTGGTGCTCCTCTTCTTCCTTCTCCTGCCTGAGGTAGAAAGACCATCCTCACAGTTTAAGCTGTATCTATCTGCGGTTATTCCTATGGAGCAGCTTCATTGGCCTCATCCGGTGGGTGCTATTCACCTGGGCATCAAACTCAACATTCAAAAAACTAAGATCATGGTATCTGGTCCCATCACTTCATGGCAAAGAGATGGAGTAACAACGGAAACAGTGACAGACTTTCTTGGGCTCCAAAATCATTGCAGATGGTGACTGCAGCTGTGAAATGAAAAGACACTTGCTCCTTGGAGGAAAAGCTATGACAAACCAAGACAGTCTATTTAAAAGCTCTAACTGAAAACCACTGATTTAGACTAATCATTATGGAAGCCTTGAAACTAAATAAGGAATATATTCCTTAAAACTGAAGGATCTTTTTAATGGCTACTTAAACAGGAAACGACTACTGTTGGCAGGAAAGATGTCAATGGGGAATGGGGATTAGGTAGTTGGTGGATTTTTTTGTTTTGTCTTGTTTTAGCTGTAGAGATTGGAAAATTCTGATCAACAATAGATGAGGAGGAGGAGTGGCCAAGATGATGGAGTAGGAAGACCCTGTGGCTCACCTCCTTCTACAGGCACATCAAAAGTTACAACTATGTACAGAGCAACTGTTGATGAGAATGATCTGAAGACTAGCAGAAAACATCCTTCTGGTGCTGGGAAAACTAGGCAGCTACATGGGAAAGAATGAAATTAGAAGATTTTTTCACATCATCCATGCAAAAAGGAAAAAAAAAAACCCTCTCAAAATGGGTTAGAGGCTTAAACATAAGACCTGAAAGTATAGAACTCCTAGAAGAAAATATAGGCAGAATACTTTGCTTACAAATCATAGCAATATTTTTGGATGTCTCCTAAGGCAAAAAAAAAAAAAAAGGAAAAACAAAAATCAATAAAAGGGGCTTATTTAAACTTAAAAGCTCTTGCACTGCAAAGGGCACCGTCAACAAAACAAAAAGAGAACCCACTAAATGGAAGAAAATATTTGTAAATGATGCGGTTGAAAATTGGTTAATATCCACAGTATATACACAACTCAATGTAGAAAAAACATTTTAAAAATGGGCAGAAGACCTAAATAGATATTTTACCAAGGAGGATATGCATAGCCCAACTAACACATGAAAAAATGCTCAATATTGCTAATCATCAAAAAAACGCAAATCCAAACCACAGTGAGATATCACCACACACCTATCATAATGGCTGTCATTGAAAATACCACAAATAACAAGTGTTATTGTGGTGAAAAAGAACACCTTGTACATTGTTGGTATGGATACAAATTACTGCAGCCACTATAAAGAAAAACAATATGCTGTTTTCTCAAAAAACTAAAATAAAATTACCAAATGATCCATCAATTTTACTCCCAGGTATATAGCTGAAAAAAGCAAAATGTTAATTCTAAAAGACTTATGCACCCATATTTTCACTGCAACATTAATTTCAATAACCAAGATATGAAAGCAACCTAAGTGTCCACCCATAGATGAATAGAAAAATAAGATGTATATATGCACAATGGAATAAGTGGAATGGATACACACACACACACACAATGGACTATAAGCCATAAAAATATTGACTCTTGCCATTTGCAACAACTTGGATGGACCTAGAGGATATTAGTCTACATGAAATAGTTCAGACAGAGAAAGACAACCACCATATATTCCCACTTACATGTGGACCCAAATATAGAACAAAAGAACAAACAGAACAGACTCATAGATACAGAGACCAAACAGGTAGTTGCCAGAGGATAAAGGAGTGGAGGGATGCGTAAAATAGTTAAGGGAGATGAAGAGGTACAAACTTCAGTTACAAAATTAAGGTACACTATTAGGATTATAGTCACTTATAATGCAGTATCTTTGTATGATGACAGGTGGCAGCTAGACTTATGGTGACCATATTATAATGCATAGAAATATCAAACCACTATCTTGTGCACTTGGAACTAACAGCGTTGTAGGCCAATTACACTTCAATTAAACTTATTAGGAGAAGCAAATCAAATAGGACAGGCACATGCCTAAAAGGAGTGAGTCAAATATAAGCTACAAGGAAGCTGGGGCTCCATTAGATATTCTCCAGAAAGAGTCCCTTTGTAAGGTCTGGAGAGGGAAGATATTAATTCTGTTTTCATTTTTGTTTATCTCAAGATATTTTATAATTTCCCTTTGACTTCTCTCTGAACTCAGTGGTTGTTTGAGTGTATGTTGTTTAATTCCCATGTACTTGTGAATACTTTCCTCTTGTTATTGATTTCTAGTTTTATTCCATTGTGGTTGGGAAAGATATTTGGAATGATTTCAATCCTCTTAAATTTGTTAAGACTTGTTTTCTGGTTTAGCATGATCTACCCTACAGAATGTTCCATGAGTGCTTAGGGAGAATCTGTTTTTGCTACTGTTGTGTGGAATATTCTGTATATGTTGCCAGGCTTGTTCAGTTTACAGTTTTCAAGTCTGCTGTTTTCCTTATTGATTTTCTGTGAATGATCTATTATTAAAAGTGAGGTATTACAGCCCCCCATGATTATTATATTGCTATCTGCTTCTTCCTTTAGATCTGGTGATGTTTGCTTTTTATGTTTAAGCTCTCTTACATTGAGTGTACATAGATTTATAATTGTTTTATCTTCCTGGTAATTCAAAGTAAAGCTAATTTGAAATTAGAATTAACAGTCCTTTCCTCTCTGATGATGACACAAGGAAGATGGAGACCTTGGGACTCACAGTAATGTTGGTTTTACCACCACGGAGAAAGCTAATGCAAGATGCTGAGGCTGACATGTAGAGAGAAAGTGTTGAGAGTGGAAAAAGATAGTCTGGTCACCTTCAAGCACCTAGTTCTGGCCAACCAAGACCAAAATATACCTATCTTCCTTTGGTAGACGAGGCAATAAATTCCCACCTCTCCACTCCCACCTGTTATTTTGATTTGGGTGCCATCATTTGCAAACATTAGGGGACCAGCTAATATGCTCTACTTTTATTTCACACTTTATTATACACTCCTTACTGCTGTTATCAAGTGGTTTTATATAAATGACTCATTGCCTAACAAGAAAATAGCTTTCTTTACTATGGTAGTTTTGCCAGCATATCTATCTTGGTGCTAATGGTTATTAAGGAGTAGATGTTAGAAATAGGAGCAATTGACGATAGAGATTCTTGCTAAAGTAGTTCCTCTTTGTTCTGAACTTGCATTCGCTGACCAGTCCATGTGAGAATTTAATTATATGCACTGGAAATTTGCCCACCTTTTGCAATTTATATGAAATGTTAGAAATTGTTTTCCTCCTACATTGACTTGATACTCCCAATCAAGTCCTCACTCCTGTAAAACTTTTCAGGAATATGTATCTCTCTCTAGGTGATAGGTGTTTCTCCCTCTCTCTCTCCACACTCTGGGATGAAATATGTCATGATAGTGTTTATTACAGTTGAGTCTACTAATTTGATGAACTAAGAGTTATATAAATGGCCTTCAAAGTTGGGGACTTTGTCAGAAGGTATACTTGATAACATAAACTTTATATATAAAGTTTGCATCATCTGATCAGGCAAGCTGTCTTTAAAGGGTATAAATAAACTATTCCACTCATCAGGTAGAAGTTACTGTCACCTGAGCCCCTGCTCTACCTAAGCTACTTCAATGTGTTGGATGGAGAGATGGGCAGCTGGTTTAAGTGACAGATGCAAAAGTGGAGACTTGCACATAACTGACCAGCCTGTATGTAACTCACCTATATTATCTGGGAATTTTCACACTATGCACTTCATTTGAAATCCTGGCAATTTCTTTCATATATTGATGCAAACATCGTTTGACTTCCCTTTGTGGTTTACAAAAACAAACACGCAGATATCTATAAATATACTAGTCATGTTTTACTAGTGAATCTCCAAATTAGTTGGGGCATTAAGAAAAAATTTAATTTGGCTGTTGAGTGGAAACCAAGGGTGTATTTCTTTAAAAAGATGAAATCAGTGTGCTGAATGCCTTACACGTGAACATCTGCACAGACGGAAATTCCCAAGATGCCCAGGAGCCCAGCCTTTGCGCAGGCTCCAGCACCAATATTATCTAAAAAGGGGGAAATTTTTGAAAGAAAGAAAATGAAGACGTTAGCAAATTAAATTTAATTTAGCAAACCAATGCCCTTTTGTAAATGTCTTGACGAGAGATTGCACATGTAATTTCATGTTGCCCAAGATTTCAGCTATACTTGTAAAGAATAATCATATATTAGCTTAAATAAGACTAACAATTCCTGGAAGTAGTCTCTGGCTCAGCAGATGCCATAGCATTCTGCATTGATGGCATGCCAGTGTGCCTTTACTTGTAAGTACTAATGACCTTATTAAAAGAAAAATATCTCAACACCTGGGCAATAGAAAGGTAATAAGTGCCAATTCTTTTCTTCTTTATCTACCTCCCACTACTCTGAGGAATTTTTCTTGTTGCCTTCATTGTCTGTGATCCAGCCTCTCTTTCACTCTGGCCACGCTTAATACTTGGGCATATTTAGCAATTTTGTGTAAAAATACCAGGAATGACCACAGTGACATATGTTAACTGGATAAATCAGAGTTTATATTCCCTGACTGTCAGTTCACTTTGCCTGCTCTTTCTTGGGCCAATCTTTTCCTAAATTCTGATTGCTCTTTAACTTTTTTGAGAAACAATTGACAAATATATTTGTATATATTTAAAATGTAAAATATATTGGGGCTTCCCTGGTGGCACAGTGGTGAACAAACCACCTTCAATGCAGGAAACTCAGGTTCAATCCCTGGGTCAGGAAGATACCCCTGAGAAGGAAATGGCTACCCACTCCAGTATTCTTGCCTGGAAAATCCAATGAACTCGGGAGCCTGGCGGGCTATGGTACATTGGGTTGCAAAGAGTCGGACATGACTTAGTGACTAAACCACCACCAAAGTGTACAGTATGATACTTTGATATACAGATACATTATAGAAGGTCAAAATAACACATCCATCACTTCACATAGTTAACTCTTTTGTGTTTGTGTGGTAGAAATCCTTAATCTCTACCATCAGCAACTTTCAAGTATGCAATATTATATTATTAACCAGGGTTACCATGCTGTACTGTGTTCAGTTGCTCAGCCATGTCTGACTCCTGGCGACCCTATGGGCTGTAGCCCACCAGGCTCCTCTGTCCATGGGATTTTCCCAGGCAAGAATACTGGAGTGGGTTGCCATTTCCTACTCCAAAGTAATCTTCCCAACCTTTGGATCGAACACACATGTCCTGTGTCTCCTGGTGGATTCTTTACCACTGAGCCACCAAGGAAGCCCTGTACTATACTTTAGAGAATCCAATAGTTTTCCCTTGGTGCCAAAGGAATCTTTTTTTTTTATTCCATCCTCTATCATAATGAATTAACTTCTCCACCAGATCATGTGTTCCTTGGGGGTAGAGTTTTACTCATTTCTGTGTCTCCCCCAATATTTAGAAGCATTTCCACACATGAAAGATATTTAAATCCCCAAATAAACCCAATTGAGTCATGTTTCATGTTTATTTGTATCTCACACAGCATTTAACAGAGTGCCTGACATAATGGAGCAGTCAGAAAATATTTGGTAAAGGAATGATTTATTGGTACTTACGTGTCTTATCAGCCACTTCCCCCTGATATAAGGGGACATGTTCACAAAGCTGCCTGATGGGTGATCCAAACAGGAACCAATCCACATTTGTGATCAGAGACTTCAGTGGGTTGTACTTGACCCAGATGTATTTGTCCGAAAACATGCTGTTCAAAGCCTAGATCAGTATGACAGAGTGGAATAAGATGAAATAAATTGATATAATCTGGTGTACCTTATTCTACATTGTGGCTTTTTCTCTTTCAAATTATTGAACAGAAGGTGGTCAGGGATCTCAAGACATCATCTCTTCTGACCGCTTGGTCTATAGAGAAGCCTCATTATTATCAGTGTTATTTTGCAGTTAATGATAATGAAACCTAGAGAGGGTGAATCCTGTGCCCAATGAGAAGACACAAAAGGAGAATTAAACCTCAAGTCCCTAGCCTCACACAATGCTTGCTTATTCTCATTATATTGTATTTACTTGCACCATTGTGTTATTGGATATCATAACTTCACTCATTTTTCCTCCCAATCATGAAAAGAGCAGTTAGTCCTTTCTACAAAGACACTGGCATTTATGATAGGTTTTTAAATTTTTAATTGTTATTTTTACTTTCTAAGGAAGTAAATGGCTTGCCTGAGGACACATATCTAGGGCCGAGCAGCGGCAGCCTTCGTATTATAAGTTCTTATAACTGGGAGCTGCATAGTGGAACTCAAGCTAAGAGATATATTCCTGCTCTAAAATCAATGAATATGAAAATGCTTTAAAGTGGAGAGTACCGTATCCTTATCCCTTACCCTCTTCATTTCTCCATGGACCCCACATTCTCCGGCTCAAGAACAGGAAATACTTAAGGCTACCCCAGAATTACCTTCCTCTCGAAGGTGTACCGTTTGAGTTGGTCCAGAGCAGGGATGGCTTTGTGGTCCATCTTCAGGATGTAGCAGGCTCTTCTGGAGAGCACCCTGAGTGCAATGTAACCCTGAAGCAGCAAGAGCACAGTTACTGCCCCTCCCAGCTCCTGAACGTGGTGAGCACAGCCGTTCGGGAAAGCTTCAAGCATACACAGTAAGACTTTCAAGCTGCAATCCATTCTATCCATTTGACTTCTTTTACCTCGTCATTTCACTTTTTCACTTGTCATTTCTACCTCTAAATTTGTGTAAACTCTTGATGTGTGCCTCACTTTTCATGTTTTGGTTTTGCAGTTTGGGGTTTGAAAGGTCAAGGAGAAATTGCTCTTTGTCTTTCTCTATTGATTTTGTTCTGCCACCTCCTCAATTTGGAGTAAATACGGTATTCTTTAGACCTGTGCTTTCAAATATGTTAATTACCAGCCACAAGTTTCCATTTACATTTAAAGTCAAATTAAATAAAATTTAAAGTGTACTTCCTCCATCACATATTTTCAAGTGCTCTGTAACCACCAGTGATTAGTAGCTTCCCTACTGGAAAATGCAGATACAGAGCATTTCTACCATTGCAGAAAGTTTCACTGGACAGTACGGCTTTAGAAGATCTCCTCAACATATTCACACCACCCTCACGCTCCACACATACATGTTTCATTGACTCTCCTCTCCCCTCTTTACCATCTTCTCTTCATCTTATCTCCACCTCAAACCCAAGCTGGCTGCATAAGGATGGAATGGAGGAAGATGGGATTTGAAGAGCAATGGAGTTTGAAGACCTTGGAGCCAAAAGGAACCTTCTGGATTATTCATCTGGAGTGGAGTTTTCCCTGCATAGTTCTAAATAATTATTCAGCATATAAGATTGTATATAATCCAAATCTTTCTAGTCCCTAATTTTCAGTTCTCATTAATTTCCAGTTCCTAAAATCCAAAAGTCAACTGAAGCCAGGCCTGAAGAGAGTGGAAGAGGCTTAAACCAACTTTTCACCATGCTACTTTTTAAAGATACTTTGGGGATTTCCCTGACACCTGCTTTAAAAGTATTTCAGCACAACTCCTTGAAAACTAAGACTTGATGCCTTCAAATGTTTCATGGAACTCCCAGTAACAGTGGGACAGAGGCAGGGAGGAGGTTTCTACAAGAAAAGCAAGTTCAAATGCCCAGTGCCATAGACTATGGACTGCTTAAATCCACAGTGCATAACTCTCTCCATAGATAAAAGCAGGTTTGTCACCCAGATGGAACAAATGGAAAACAAACACATAAATGAATGAATCAAGGATGGAATAAGTTTTCTGAGCAGGTTTCTGAGATTTATTGTTAATTCTAGTAATTGAAACTTGGAAATAGCATGTTTTTAAGCTAACATGCTTTAATTCTTCCAAAAGTATAATTTTTTCATATCTTATGTACATAGTTAAATATGTAGTTGTTCAGGATTTCTGCTTTTTTGTGACTGCTTGTTTCGTGATTGCTCTCTTTCTGCAGAATTTTTTGTATTAGAAGAAGCCCTACTTCACTCACACCTTTGACAAATATTTTTGAGAGCCTGTGTGCCAGGCCTTGCCCTGGGTTTTAGACACTCTTCTAGGCACTTTCTGAGCCTGTAGTGAGCCAACATCATCATGCTTCCTACCTGAAAAGATCAAGCCAATTCGTATATTTCCTGTCTCATCAATTTTTTAATTAGAAATGGGAAAAGAAGAAGTAAGGAAATTCTGAAAGTATTACAAGGATAGATCCTGGAATTCAAATGCATGATAAATGGTTGTCCCTCCACCCTGTAGAAGTCCACTCTTGAAGAATATAAAACATTGCTGCTTACGTGTTTATAGTCAAAAATGGTGGTAGAGGAGCATGATCCTGCATGGATGTTAATGATGGCAGCATTTTTTTCATTGTCAATTGTCATCGTCTCCTGAATTTGGCCACCTTTGTCAGTTGGGCTGATGATGTTGTAAACCTAGATTGACAAAGACATAATGGTGTTTTCACAAACCATGTGCTTTTGAAAGGCAACCCTCCCGGCAAAGTAAAGCCTTCTATTGCTTTGAACAAGAGATTGAACATTGAGATGTTGCCACTGGCATCCCAAACCAAAAGCCCATGCTAAAATAAGAATGCAAAGGTCTTCCTCTTAGTTCACTGTATTATATATGGGCAAAGCAATGACATCACGTGAGAAATGAAATTGACCACATTTTAAAGCAAAGGGTTATATTTTTAAGGTATTGTGGTTGGAAGAAATAGTCAGCCTCATTGTTTCTGTTACTGGTTATTTCTGGGATGTCATCCCACGTACAGGGCATGTGGACTCTCTGTTGTCCTTCAGGTTATCTTGTGTCTTCTTTTTCCTCTCCCAATATCTCTAGGGTATAATATCTGTAGTGAACTAACTCACCTCATTTCCCAAAGATTGTGTCCCAAAGAAGGTCAGTGCCACCACAAATACCACCTGAAAAACAGACCAGTCACATCCATTCATAATAGGGCTGTCATTTGGAGTGGGGTGACACAGAACATGACAAGAACAAATATCTCAGAAAATATATACTTAAAGACTCTGGTGGGAGGTCATGGATGGTCAACAGTCCATTTCCAAAATATGCCAACACTCATTCATTTGACAGGCATTTGGTGAGTTTTTGCTAATTTTCAGATTAGTTCTCCCTTTGTTACCAAATTCCTGACCCTTCCCAACAACACAACCTTCTAGGAAGAATATGCCAGAAAAATACTTGGGGGAAATACAAGATGCCTTTTGGTGTTAAAAGTAATAATAATAACAATAATAATAAATTTTTAAAAAAATACTTGAGAGAGATGAGCAGTAAGAAAGGGCTCATTTTACTAAGAGGAGGACCCTGGAGGTATTCATACTGGCTTTAGTAGTCAGGCATCAAGTTGTGCTTTTTGGTTTAAAAAATTATTTAATTCCTTGAGATAAAGAGAGTAAGACAGATTTAAAATAGATTCATGGGTGATAGGGGTACCTATGTATTCCTAAGGGAAACTATGAGAATCAGATCGTGGGGGCACAAATAACTTCTGAGGCTGACATCAAAGAAAATGTCCACATTCCCATTAGATGCCATCAGACAAGTGTTGGGCCAGCAGAATGCGAGGCTGACCCGGGCACTGCTGGCATCCTGTGGTACAGGGTCTCATTCGATATGCTGAGCCTGGTTTTGTGTTCCCTGTTCTGAGCATCACAGAACACAGAGCATCACTGCTCTGTCATTGGGACTGATGACGGAGAGACTCTTCAGGAAGGCGGGTGTTTTTAGTACCTGTCAGTGAGGCTTCAGAGAAGGCAATGACAACCCACTCCAGTACTCCTGCCTGGGAAATCCCATGGACGGAGGAGCCTGGTGGGCTACAGTTCATGGGGTCACAAAGAGTCAGACATGACTGAGCAGCTTCGCTTTCACTTTTCAGTTTGATGCACTGGAGAAGGAAATGGCAACCCACTCCAGTATTCTTGCCTGGAGAATCCCAAGGACGGGAGCCTGGTGGGCTGCCATCCATGGGGTCACACAGAGTCAGACATGACTGACGTGATTTAGCAGCAGCAGCAGCAGTGAGGTTTTCCTACTTCCCTTTGCATCTCATCAATAATATTTCTGTCCTGGTGATTGTGGGTAGAATGTCTAACATGGACCTAAGGGCAGACGTCCAATCTGTCTACTCGCATACAGAAAACCTCGGCTCCAAGGCCAGCTCTAGTAACCTCTGACACTCCTACGTGTTCTATTTAATGGGTCAAGTACAGAAGCTTGAGTTAGATGGGTAGAGGGCTGAGCATTTAGAGAAATGATTAAAGAGTCAGGAAATGTCCCCTGCCCCCAAATAGCCACCCACCCAACAATGTGCTTAATACCCCACGGTCCCAGGTGTGCATTTTGGGGTTAGATCTCTTTTGGAAAATCAAGAGATCCTGGGAGAAGGAACTGGTTAAATTGACAGTGTTTAACAGCTTATGGGGAGGTACTTATATTACTCTCTCCTTCAACAACTCAGTGAGAATAAGGGGTAGAGGCTGAGGGGAAGGAGCTCCATGCTGCAATAGAACATAGGTCACTGTCTAAGGAGCGCTGCCATGTGAAGCTGTGGGAGACTGGGATCAGGGCCGGGCTCCGTTGAAGTGGTCATGGCAGAGTTGCTCTGCCACGATTGCTTCTGTATGTGGGGCCTAAGACGGATAGAGTTCAAGACTAAACCCCACATTTCTCGCCGGGGGAAATCATAGTCCTCTGTGTCTCAATCTCCTCACCTGTAGAATGGGGCAATACCACTCAGTTCAGTGGCTTCCCCGGTGGCTCAGCAGTAACGAATCCCCCTGCAATGCAGGAAATGCAGGAGACACAGGTTCAATACCTGGGTCAGGAAGACCCCCGAGAGTAAGAAACCCACTCCAGTATTCTTGCAGGGAGAATCCCAAGGACCAAGGAGCCTGGCAGGCTCTGGTCCATAGGGTCACATGAGGTTCAGACACAGCAGAAGGAACTGAGCATAGCACACATACACTTGCTGCAGTGAACAGATGAAGTGGTTCGTTGGAATGTTCAGCATAAGGCCTAGCATGCACTTGGGAAATGGCAGATTTTTTTAATTATTGATATTATTATTATTACTTTTGACCATACCTCATGGCATGCAGTATCTTAGTTCCCCAACCAAGGATTGAACTTGTGCCCCTTGTAGCCGAAGCACAAAGCCTTAACTATTTGACCACCAGGAAAGTCCCTGATATTATTATTTTCAAATCACTATTTCCCTTTTAGATGGTAAATATAGTTATCCTAAAATGCCCTCCAAATTTCACAATAAGGAATTATTATTAAAATATTACAAATTAAAATTCCCTTGATATTTCCCATTTTTTTTCTTTGTATTTTCCTAGTAAACATCTCAAGAAATAGAAAAAGGACAAATAAATATGGACAAATTAATATTTGACATTATTCCTGCCAAAGACAGCATTAATTCAATCAAGAAACTTAGACGAATGCAGTATTTGTCTAAGACCCCTGAAAACCAACACACATTGGATTTGAACATTCTCTGCAAGCAGTAACCATAACAGTATAAAGAAATTTAAACAAATACTCACAAAGATTTCCATTTTGCCTGAAAAGAAGAAACTGCTGGAGCAAGTGAGGCTGCCCAGTGCACCTTCTACCTTTATATCGGATTTCAGGTGCAGAAATCTCTGTCTAGAATGATCACTTTGAAAAAGGCCATGTTCCTATCAATGCCACACCCCAGCAAACTCCTTTATCAGGATTAAGACACAACCACATAACATGATATCAGAGAAGTTCATTACTCAATAGTGAAAATTCGTCACTTGGTCACTCTGTAAATATCGCCACTTATCTACTCTCTGTTGCATTTGTGATTTCAATGTCCACCCTTTGAAAACATTTCAAGACCCTTGTTCTACACAAACATCTCATGGTCATCTATATCTAATATTATATTCCTAAATCTCACCTGATAGTAAAGTCCACCCTTAAGACATGAGTTGGGCCCCACTCAGTGTCTTTTCATCCCTGCCCTGCTTGTTGAATTTTCCATCCAAGAGCTGGATCTGGGCCTAGAGCTGAGGGTAGTGTCTGCGGACATGTTATAAGAAAAAGCCATCTCAGGACTTCTTTTCTCCTCTTCCGCAGAGTTGGTCCTAGTTTCCAGAAATCCACGAAGAACAAGTCTCAGAGATCCCTCTGCCCAATTACCAGCATTAACCAATTTTCTATGTTTAAACTTTACCCAAAACTCCATCTCAACTATGACTTACATAGTTCTTGTTATCTTGGTGTACACTGAGAAATTCTCAGACTGAAAAAATAGAGACAATAAAGATGATACAAGTAATTTTTATAATTCTACCGTCAGAAATGGCTAGCTAGAATTAGGGTGGGATCTTGAACTCAAATGTGGGGAAATACAAAAGCAAATAGCACCTGTAAATGGCAGAATTGTTCAACATGGAAAATTACTACAGTAAGCACAGAAAAAACATAAATGATGTTCTTGTTCTAGAGCTGGAATGACTTCTTAGTCAGTAACTATTTAAAACTTGAGCTTTTAAAAAGCAGACATTTGGGCAATTTGGGAGTTACCTAGTTCATTGGAATTCCCCTACCTTGGCTGTTCAGCTGCGTTGGATGTAAAATGGGCTTTTCATTTAATCTTTCTAAGACAGCAACAGCAAGAAGTGTTACAGTACATCTGCAATTTCCTCCCATATCTGGCTCCAAAATCCCCCCTAAAATCACACAGTAGATATTAGAATTAGAGGTATTATACTCTACCCTTTAATGTGTCTCTTGTCCCCTCAAGAGTTCTGAGTCTGTATGTCTAATAACGACAATAGTTAGCATTAATAGGGGTTTCCCTGGTGACTCAGGATGGTTAAGAATCTGTCTGCAATGCAGGAGACACCTGTTCAATTCCTGGGTTGGGAAGATCCCTTGGAGTAGGAAATGGCAACCCACTCCAAGATGGGGAAGATAGCTTCCCCATCTTCAAATGTAGTTTCATGGTTATCCCGGCAGCAACAAACAGGCAGTTGAGAGTTTAGATCAACAGCATGAAGTAAACACATCTTCTTTTAGCTTCTTCAGAATGAAAATGACCACATCCATTCATTATCCATTAGTAAGGACCAGCCACAGTTCATATCTAGACGTGAGGGAAATGAAGCTTAGCTCTGTGCAAAAAGAGGAAGCTAGTCTTTGGGCATAAGAGAAAAGGCCAAAATTGTCTCCGTGTTTCCAGACTTTCCATTGTTCCATCCTCAGAACCAATTAATTCAAGACTTAAAGGCACCATATTGCTTAAGTTGCTCTTGTGTTCAAAGACTTTCTAAAAATCTCCAGCAACTGTAGGCTAAAATTGGATACTGTTAGCTTGGCAATGGCACCCACTCCAGTGCTCTTGCCTGGAGAATCCCATGGGTGGAGGAGCCTGGTAGGCTGCAGTCCATCAGGTCGCTAAGAGTCAGACACGACTGAGCGACTTCACTTTCACTTTTCACTTTCATGCATTGGAGAAGGAAATGGCAACCCACTCCAGTGTTCTTGCCTGGAGAATCCCAGGGACGGGGGAGCCTGGTGGGCTGCCGTCTATGGGGTCGCACAGAGTCGGACACGGCTGAAGTGACTTAGCAGCAGCAGCTTGGCATTTAGCTCACTATTATAGTCTCATTGCAAACTAAATTTCTCAAGTAGTATGAGTGAGAAATATTTAAATGAAGGAGAGAAGATGTGGTTATAGGGACAGAGAGATGTTCATTTACTCAATTGCCACAAAAGACACCCAACTTTACTTTCCTGTCCTTTCCCTCCATATCTTAGACTCCCCACCTTTCACCATGCTATTTTCTTTTCATATTACCTTTATATATTTTGTTTCTCTTTCTTCTTTCCTTCCTTCTTTTATTTCTCTTTTTCCTTCTGTTCTTAATGACAGTCTCCCTTATGAAAGTCACCAGATAAATATTCTGAGATGGATAGAAGATTAAATCAGACCCGATGAGTATCTGTTCTCAGAGCTTGCTATCATAAACATGAATAACTATTAAAATATAGTAAATGTTATGCACACTGCTATATATATAGAAAATAGATAACCAACAATGATGTACTGTATAGCACAGGGAAGTATACTCAGTATTTTGTAGTAACCTACATGCAAAAAGATTCTGAAAAAGAATATATATATATACATATATATATATATATGTATATATATATGAAACACTTTGTTGTACATTTGAAACTAACACAATATTGTAAGTCAACTATACTTCAATTAAAAAATAATAATCAAGAAATATAGTAGATGTTAAGTAACAGAAAAGAAACACAAGTAATTTGCAGCAACATGTACGGACCTAGAGATTGCCCTATTGAGTGATGTAAATCAAACAGAGAAAGCAAGGATCATATGATATTGCTTAAATATGGAATCTTAAAAAAGAGTACAAATGAACCTATTTACAAAACAGAAATTGAGTCACAGATGTAGATTTAGTCTCAACTTATGAAACATTTTACAAATCCACAGGTTATAAAATGAACACATGGAACATGTCTTTAATGGCCAAAGACATGATTAGAGGGAACAAAACAATAGGAGGTGCTTTGAGTTACAGCTTCTGACACATCTTACCTGAATTTGAATTGTCTAAGTGTTCCAGCTCACTGTGTGTTCTTTGCCAAGTTATTTAATCTCTCAGTGCTGCAATATCTTCATCTGTAAAGAGAGGGTAATAAAACATCTCCTCACAGGGGTACCATGAAGATTGAACGAGGGCATACATATAAAGCACATAGTAGAGTAGCAGACACAGTAGGTTCTTAATAAATGTTATCTAATGTTATGGTCACTATTTATTATTCATAATACACATTCAGTCTTGTTAGTTATTAAGAAATCACAAATCAATAATTTAATAAGAAACCATTTACTTCTTTTAGTGAGCATAAGGTGAAAAAAGTTCCATCTTCTGGGTGAAGCCTCTATAACTACCCCAGCTTAAAGAACTCACTCTCCTCTGAAAGTTTTGTCTATATTGCTCATTTGAAGAAGCCACAAGTCACAAAAGAAAAGTACAGGCTCCCAGAGATGAAAACATCATCCCATTTTTTAGCTGCCATGTGACCTTTGACAAGTTGCAGAGCCTCTCGGTAAGAAAATGGCCCTCATGGAAGAAGTGGGCTCTCATAGATTATGAATCTGTTGGACATATGAGCCTCTAGAACTATGAAAAAATAAATATGTATTGTTTATAAACCACCACGTCTGAATGCCTAAGACAATCAGAGAAGGAATAAAGAAGGTAAAATGAAATCTTTTTCCTTATTCTTAATTGATCTGATAGACAGCTGTTCAAATGTAATGCCAACTATGGATTTTGGGTGGTAATGATGTGTCAGTATAGGTTCATCAATTGTGACAAATGTACCTTTCATTTCCATGTTGCTGAGGGAGGCTATGCATGTGAGGGCAAGGAGGATACAGGAATTCCACTCAATTTTAATGCCAACTTAAAACTTATCTTTTCAAAAAACTGTTTAAAAAAATAAAAAAGTTAAAAAAAGGAAAGAAAAAAAACAAATGAAACAAATACAAAATAGTTTCAAACATATTAGATATTAATCCAACTATTTCAATAATTACTTTAAATATGAATGATCTAAATACACCAAGCAAAAAAGAGATTGTCAAAGTGGATCAGAAAAACAAGACCCAACTATATGTTATGTTCAAGAAACTCACTTTAAATATAAAGACATAGATTATATATTAAAATACAGTTTAAAGTAAAGGAGTAAAGAAATACATACCATATAACACTAATTTTTAAAAGCTAGAGTATCTATATTAATTTTAGATAAAGCAGGCTTCCAAAAAAATTATCCAAGTTAAAGTGGGCAATAACAGCATGATAAAGGGGTCAATTCTTCTATTTATTTTAGGGTGAGCCACAAAATTCTACACAATAAATAGTATCTACATTTCTAAAATATACATATCTGTTTAGATACCCCATTGAATATGTGCCTATATGAAGACAGCAAATCAAATTTAAAGGTGTGTTAATTATTTTAAAAAATGAGTGATTGCCTTTTTAGAGAAACACCCACGGAAACTAACACCAACTAAAATATTATTTTTCTGGGAGGAGCGCAAGGAACTTATAGGTGTGGCAAAGAGAAAAGCGCCTTCACACATGCAGGGAAGTATGAGGTTGACATAGCTGAGCTCAGAAGTCAGGGAGAAAGGGAATTTTCGCATGGCTATTAGTGAAGATTAAATCCCTAGAGTATCTTGAGCTTAGTGTGTAGCAAATTGTCAGTTCTTGATAAGTGGAATAATTCTGACTCAACTTTTCTCTATCGAAATGCAATTAAATGGGACATTTCATAACTATAAAGATGAATCTGAGAGTATTAAGAATGTTGTAAGGTGATTCTCCCAGCCACTGAACTCCCCCAGTTCACACCACCTGGCTCTGCAACTCCCCTAGGCTGACACTTGTTTCCTAGGTGTAGATCCAGACTGCCCCCCAGGACTTGACCAAAGGTTCATCTTCTGCATGAAGCCTCCACAACTATTTCAGCTTAAAGAG